TTTTTGGCCATGCTGAACGGCATGCGGGATCTTAGTTCCCTGACCAGGGATGGAACCCGAGCCCCCTGCAGTGGAAGTGCAGAGTCCTAACTGCTGGACCGCCAGGGAATTCCCCCAGGTTTTTTTACATTCACTTTTAGTTAGAAATAGGTCTCATCAATATTGTAATTGGCTCTATCTGCCCTCCCAATATGAAGGACTACAGCAGCCCACATCATGCTACTTTATTTATTGTACTGGTATTAAGTTATCCAGCCCATCCCCCATCCTCTTACCCTCCACCATATGCAGAGTTCCTGAAGTGTTTTTAAAATACATTTCAGGTTTGTCTCGCATGCTGTTTTAATTGGTTTTTATCTTTTTGACTTGAATATTAATGACTTTGAAATGCCTGTATGTAGGGTTGAATACATCTTAACAAATGTTCTGCAGTATGAACTTTTAGTGTCCCCCACTAATATAGCATTTCTATAATTAAATGTGAATTTACAGATTGATCAGAGAGGCTCTGTACAAATGTTGACGCACATCACTTTATCACCTTGGCACTTCTTTTTCCTTTCCTCCCTAACTCTTACTTTTGGGTGACTGTGTTAGCACATTGCTTGGGAAGATCTGGGCCATCTGACACTTTCTAGCGATCTTATCGATTAAATATAGATTAACAGTTGCAAGTCACATTCTTATAAATGTGTGTTTTTAATTATCCCATCTCTCATGTAGTCATCTAGAAGAGAAGTAAATGCTATAAAAATTTTTTTAATTATACTTGATTAAATGTTGAGTGAAGAGAATTCAAAAATCAGAACATAAACTTAATTACTCTTCAGTTGATCCAGAGGAAAGAACAGGGTGAGTGGAAATGTAAAGGCTTTGAGGTCATAAAGCTCAGGTGGACCATGTTTTAGACTAGACTGTGTCCTTCCTGAGAGGAGACAGAAGCGATGTATAAAATTTTTCGGCAATGTCAATACTTTGTATTTCTAGGAAATTATGGAACGAATACATGAACTGTTTAGGAAGATCTTTTTTTCAGGGCTTCTAAAAAGAGAATTTACTTTTCAAAAAAAATTCTGACCTCTGTAAACCAGCAAGCAGTCTGTCCTCAGCTGCTGAAGTTCTATAAAAATGCACAGAGGACCTTTGTACTGTTACTGCCTTTGTACTGTTTTATAAACACATTGTCAAATTGCTCTTCTTTGAAGTGACTGTTCTGAGTTCGGTATGCAGAATAATGGCCCCCAAAGATGTCCACATCTTACTCCCTGGAACCTGTGAATATATCACCTTACAGGGCCAAAAGAATTGTGTAGCTGTGATTCAGTTAAGAGTTTTTGTTTGTTTATTTGTTTTTTTAATAGTCTTCATAGCAGCTTTGTGTGTAATAGCAAACCACAACAACGTGAGACGCAGCAAAAGAGCGTGCATAGAACATATAAGGAGCGTACATACCAAGCGTGCTATACTTAGGCTCTAAGATACTATTCAGCAAAGGAAATGATTGGAGCTCAGCTAAATGCAGCAACATGAAAAGATATCACAAATACAATTGTGAACAGAGAAGCTGGACACCAAAGGTTACCTCCAAAGGTTACCACGTAGACTTTAACACACCTGAACTTACAGTGTGTGGCCCAGTTTTCCCCCAGTTTTGAACTTGCCAGTGGAATCATGCAGTAGGTAATCGTTGGTGTCCAGTTAAGGGTTTTGAGATGAGGAGATGATCAGGTGGCCCTAGTATAATCACAAGGGTCCTTATAAAAGGGAGGCAGGAGGGTGTCGGAGTTATCAGGGAATCAGAGGAGGAGGTCGGGTTGAGGTGGGACCATGAACCGCGGATGGAAGCAGCCTCTATAAGCGGGAAGAGGCCAGGTGCCAGGGATTTCCAGAGAAACGCAGTCCTGCCCACCCTTCTGAGAATTCTGACCTCTGGAGCGGTAAGATGGCAAGCGTATTTTGTTTTAAAACAACTAAGTTTGTGGTGATGTGTTGCAGCAGCAGCAGCAAGAAACTCATACCTAATGGGGGTGGTTCGGTCACTCACTGACTCATCTCGAGGGGCTGCCCCATGCCAGGCAGTGTTCCGGGCACCAGGGGTCAGTGGGGGACAAGACAGACCAGAGCCCAGATCCCCTAGACCTTCCATTGCAGAGGGAGGGAGAGAATATGGTTTCAGAGAGCCTCATCCTGCAGTGAGAATACAAGTGCCAAACAGCAGAGCATCATGGGGCGAGGAGCTGCAGAGGGGGCTTGTTTTGATGGGGTCCTCGGGCTTAGGAGGCCCCTGTGTCTGAGGAGGTGACATTTAAGCTGGAATTTGAGTGACCAAAAGGAAGCAGCTAGGCTGGCCTCTGGAAAGACACAGCAAGTACCAGGGTGCAGAGCTTAGGAAGACAGCTCACTTGGGGTCAGAGAGCAGGGGGTGGTGGCCCCGATCCCCTGGCCCCCCACACCGGTGGGAAGTCCTCGGAGGTTCTTTCCATGCATAGGCTTTGTAATCCGGAGCAAGCAGCCTTCCTTCCAGGAGCTGATGGCAGCGCCCGCTCTTGTGGGGTGACACGAGGTCTTCCCCTGTGTCCACTGTTGCCCAGCTCTTTGCACGCAGAGGAGAGAGGGTTTCCCTTAGCAGTCCCTCCTTATGAATAATCAGGCACTGCTAAAAATCACTGGTCCATTCTGTATGTTCTCATACCCTTTGGAATCTGATAGTTGACATGGATTTTAGGGAAGGTTTATTCCTGTCCTCTGGTTTGACCAGTGAAAACGCAGCCCCAAAAGGGGATGTTACCCACATGGGTTGAAAGCTGTCGCAGCCTCTCCTGCATCTGAGGTCAGAGACTTTGCACCTGGGGACGGGGGCTGCAGCAACAATGCTGGTCCTTCCTTTTGTCTTCTACGTATTTTTTAAAGTAAAAAGTGACCTACTCTGTCTGGCTATTAACATTTGTAAATTGCATTACATACAAAACTGATGGCATTTTCTGCCTTGTGAAACGTTTTCTCGAATGGTCTGGATTCTTAATTGGGTCCTGACTTTTTTGAGCCCCCCAGTGTTGGGCCCCCCAGAATGAGAGTTTTACATGACCCAAGGGGCCCCCTTCCCAAGCCCACCTGCTTGTTCAGGCTCATGAAACTCAGGAAAGATGCGTGGAGGTTTGTGCAAAGTCCGTATCACATTATAAATACGTGTGTAGTGGGGTCTTTTAGTTCTCCTTTGTTTTTTTAATGAACAGAATAAGGTAGTTACACTTAGTAATACCCATTCACCAAAAGGAAAGGGGGGGGGGTGTTAAATCATTGTGTTTTTTGATGAATGGCTTGTACACCAAAAAATAAATTGGACAAACTGGCATAGAGCTCAGTGAACATGAAATCAGCTATTAGAAGAAAGCTTGTGAACAAATTCTGAGGCAGATATGCATCTTTTGATTAACGCCCTATCAATCATCCACACAGCTACCTTAGCTGAGTCTTGCTGTAATCATTCATGGTTGCTTTCCGAAACACTGGCAGAAACTATAGCGCTGCAGAAACAGAATATTATTAGTGATTTCTCCCTAACTTACTGTGAACAATGACTGTTTTCACCAGGTTTCTGCTGTCCTTTATTAAAGAAATACAATACAGAATGAAAGGAGAGTTCCTCCAAGCCCTGTGAAATTCTCCTAGGGTATTCTTAATGATATTCAGTCTTAAATGGGCAAGCTATTGTAATGCAAGGCTCGCCGTAGGAATAATAGTAATGTAATCCCATTGAAACCACCTTTTTATGGATTGTAGTCAAATGGGCAAAACGTGGAGTCACATTAATGAAGGGAGTATGTCTTCGGCGTTATTACTTAAAGTTGTTGAAATGGTTTGAATTTTGTTATTGTAATTATTATAGTCTCAGTTAATGCGCTTAACAGCAATAGTAATTAACCCACCAGATTGGGAAATTTGCATGAATTCTACCTTTGACTTTGCAAGAAACCCTGATTCTTTCTGGGCCTTACACAGCAGGATGGAGAGAATATCTACGTATATATATTTTTTTCTTTTTTTTTCCCCCACTGAGTATTTTTTAAGGAAGAAATTTTCGCAAATGCCATTACAGTGTTTCATGCATTTTTTTTTTAAGCCATCGGCAAATTCCTCGAGAGCACTTCATTCTTTTAAGAAGATTGGATTCCTAAACTATGGTGGTGCAGAGAACGATTTGGCACTGCCTACTAGTCCAGAAATCTTTAGGTGATGGTGTGACTTCCTTAGAACTTCCTGTAGCCTGGGAAATACCCTGGCATAATGAAGTGGTGACAGGCATTAGCATGTATAATGGGCGTTAATAGACATTTAATGCTCCTTAGCTGCAAGAGGGAGCGGATGCTCTCCCATTGGAATATTCCTCAATCAAAGCCCATTGATCACCGATTTCAGCCAGGAGAGGTTAATCCATCAGCTTCTGTAACCAGACGGCACTGATGGAAATTCTTTAGGTGGCATTCAGGATGAACCAAGCTTTCCATCTTTACAAACAAATGAGTGATATGACAAGCGTGGTGTTCAAAACACATTTAACCAATTGATTTTCTTTCTTCTTGTAATAAGATCTGGAGACATATGAAAGCGTGCAGGGTGAGCATAGATGAAAAGAATTGCTCCGTGCACGGGAACATGTGGGATGGGGAGCTGAGAAAAGTACTATAAAGCATGTAGTCACCCATTCTCTTTGTTATATAAAGTTTGTTATTGCAATAAATAGTTGTTATTGAGCAGATGCCTTTTGCTTCCGTTCTGCTGAATTTTATCTCAGGTCTGTGTGTTTGTGCCAACGCCCATGCGTGTCCTGTCTAAGCCATCAGCTTTCTCTAGGAAGTTTCGAGATGTCCGTCAATCATTTTTACCTTCTGATTTAAATGCACAGCCCTGATGCGATTTGGGGACAAAAAACTAGGTATAAAGGCGCGCTGGTCTCTGTGTCCCGTGTAAATGATGGTTTTCCCTTTATTTCCCACCCGCAGCCCTGCCCTGAGCTTCACCTACCCTTCTGCACCCGTGTCTCTCCATATGCATCAGCAGATCTTAAGCCGACAGCAGAGCTTAGGCTCGGCCTTTGGACACAGCCCTCCGCTCATCCACCCCGCCCCAACTTTCCCGACACAGAGGCCTATTCCCGGGATCCCTACGGTTCTGAACCCTGTCCAGGTCACCTCCGGCCCTTCCGAGTCCTCACAGGTGAGAGAGACAGCTCGATGACCTGGTCTGTCTTGGGAATCATAGAGGAAAGCCACGGGGCCACATCAGCTATGAATACGCGCAGGCCAGCGGCATCCTCACCGCTTCCATGCTGCAGCCTGTGGTCCCAACCCAGGGCTGTCATCTTCAGATTCTGCGCCGTGTGTACTAGAGTCATTTTATCCTCGGCGGAAAAGCAGGCTGCTTGATCGGGCTTCCCTCTGACCATGTGCTGTCTGTAGCCCATTCAGTAAAAATACACTGCATGAGTGGGTTGCTGTCATTCGGTCTCTTTCCCCTGCACTATTAGAGTTCGTTAAAGCCTGGATCCCAGCTCTTTTCCTCTAGCTTTAAAAAGGCCCAGGGAGTTGATACTTATGAGTTAAAAACAAAGAGTTGTCTCATGAATGTATATCCTGGCTTTTAAAAAATATATATATTGGAGTATGATTGGTTTACAGTGTTGTGTTACTTTCTGCTGTACAGCAGAGTGAATCAGTTACACATATACATATAGCCACTCTTTTTTAGATTCTTTTCCCGTGTAGGTCATTACAGAGTGTTGAGTAGAGCTCCCTGTTGCTATACAGTAGGTTCTTATTAGTTATCTGTTTTATATATAATAGTGTGTATATGTCAGTCCCCATCTCCCCTTTATCCCTCCCTCCCCCGCTTCCCCCCGGTAACTATAAGATTGTTTTCTACATCTGTAACTCTATTTCTGTTTTGTAAATAAGTTCATTTGTACCATTTTTTCAGTATATCCTGGCTTTGAACACATTTTCTGAACTCTGCTACCTGGAAATAGGGGCCATATCTGTCATCATTCTAGTGCCAAGGAAGCTCGCTCTTCCCGACTTGTGTGTTTTAGCTGTGGTCCTGCTCATTGATCAGAACTTAATTTTTGTTTCTTTCCCTGCCAATGTGACCCGCAGAACAAGCCCACGAGTGAGTCCGCCGTGACCAGCACCGGAGACCTAGTGCATAATAAACGCTCCAAGATCAAAGCCGATGAAGACCTCCCCAGCCCGGGGCCTCGGGGCCAGCAGGTGAGGGAGGCGCCGGCTCTGGCTCCCTCCAGCCTGGTGTCTTTTCACAGCATTGGCTTGTCTGCTGCGTTCTTGGCCTTGGGCGTTACCCACACATTTAACAAAAGGCCAGGGTTGGAGTACAACTAGGTTTGTTTCTCCAGCTCAGAAGCAGACACATGAAAATGCGGGCAGCCTTGTGGGGTATAAACTGGAGTAAGTGGGTGGATGTGTTTATTGTTGACCAGGGATGTGAACAGGCTTCAGTCCTTGGCCTTGATCTTGGGCCTGAATTACAAGCTCCTGGCTCTCAGCCTGAGCTGGGCAGACCAGGGATATTCCTTATAATGATCATGTTCTTAGTTTTTCTTATGTTGCCACTTCCTACTGGCCAGGAGACCCTGCATAGCCAGGAGGGATCCAGCGACAACTAACCTAACCTAAGGCTACTTAGATTCTTGTTCTTTACCCCAAGTCGTCAAAGGACAAGTTTAAAAATTCCAATCTTGTCTCTGCTGTTAGTTAGATCCTAAGCCTCAATTTTAAAAATGTGTAGATTCGGACTTGCCTGCTGGCGCAGTGGTTAAGAATCCACCTGCCAATGCAGGCGACACGGGTCCAATCCCTGGACCGGGAAGATCCCATATGCCGCGGAGCAACTAAGCCCATGCGCCACAACTACTGAACCTGCGCTCTAGAGCCCACGAAACACAACTACTGAGCCCGCATGCCACAACTACGGAAGCCCAGGCGCCTAGAGCCCGTGCTCTGCAACAAGAGAAGCCAACGCAATGAGAAACCCGCACACTGCAACGAAGAGTAGCTCCCGCTCACCACGACTAGAGAAGCCCACGTGCAGCAACGAAGACCCAACGCAGCCATAAATTAATTAATTAATTTAAAAAAAACGAATGCGTAGATTCTGCTTGTAATCCTCTCTTGTAGGTTCCCTGGGCCTGATATGGAGCTCAATGAGTATAATTCCCAGAGATAGGGATTGAACGAGAGTCTGGATGTCCACAGAATCTGGACCTTGCAATGTTCAAGCTGCTTCAGCCCATACCTGAGAGTGCTTAAGCCCACGTCTCCTTTTTAGGGAGGAGCACTTGGAAGATGGAATGAATGGGTGTCATGGGCTCTGAGAGCCAACCTTCTTGCATATTGCTGGTTATGCCCAAACACTTGTATACAGCTTTTGCCATCTAACCCCAGATTAGATCCCGAATTTACACACCTAATCATCTCGCAGAATTCTGGAAATGCTTTGTCTTTTCATTTCTGCAAAGCTGCCTTAGAAGACTAGAAAAGACTTTACCGCCAAGCTTTAGATGCTGTGGTTCTTGGGCAGGGAGTGTATGCTTGGAGACCAGAAGGTGAGCTCAGAAGACATCATCCCTGTAAAAATCCACACAGTGCCTCTCACAGCCTCCAGTGGCAGAATTAGCAGTAAACCATTTCCCTGGATTTCAAAATAGGAGAATAAACAAATTAATATGCTGAAAATAATTTAACCGAAAGAGCAGTCTTTTGGATAACGACTATATCGCCTAGTTTAATTGCTTTTCTTAAGAGATGACATCTTAGGTTGTTCTCACCTTGGTATTCAGGACAGCAAAGTTTGGCCTCAATACCTTACCGATATTCTGGTTTGGACCGTTGCCTTTAATCACAAGTTAACAACCTTCGAAGGCATATTGAGTAAATCTGAAAAAAATGCACACAAATGATTCCATCTTTGGTTTCTTCAATTCACAAAACCCAGCTGATAGACTTGGGCTCTGTTTTATTTTTCCCCCAAAAAATTGCATCCAGAGGAAGACAAGCCTACATCAGGTTTTTCATTTCTCTTTTTTTTTTTTTAACTTTTTATTTTATATTGGAGTAGAGTTGATGAACAATGTTGTCATAGCTTCAGGTGTCCAGCAAAGTGATTCATTTACGCATTTTCCCCTTTAGGTTGTTACCTAATAGTGAGCAGAGTTCCCTTTCTCTTCTGTCTGCCGTCCTATTGTGTCTGATTTTGTCTCTCTTTCTCCTCCCTTCCCCACCCCTGCCTTTCAGGAACAGCCTGAAGGGACAACCCTGGTGAAGGAGGAAGGGGACAAAGAAGAAAGCAAACAGGAGCCTGAAGTCATCTACGAGACAAACTGCCACTGGGAGGGCTGTTCTCGGGAGTTCGACACCCAGGAGCAGCTGGTGCATGTGAGTGAAGGGGGCCGGGAAGGGGGCTTTACCGCTATGTGACCTTTCCTGCGGGGTCAGCTCCCCTGACCCCGTGCTGAGTCAAGTTTCTCAGCTAGCAGCCTAGCAAGCTGGAGGGGGCTTGATGACTTTCTGAGAATAAAGAAAACTGAGCCACGGTGCTTGACCTGTTCAGTCAGCTAAAGCTGAGTGTAAAATTCAATAAAGTCTTCAAGAGAGAGTGTAATGACTCTGATCCCATAAGCGAGAAAACACTATTTTGAGTTAGCAACTTTGATGGTTATTGAGTAATAGTAAGCTGGACATGAATTATTATTAACCTTTTAACCAAGTTTGATTTTAACCAAGACCCAGTAACAATCGAAAAAAATCATAGAGGTGGGGGAAGTCCTTTTTCTCCCTCCTCCCTTCCCCTCCCCGACCCTCACCAGCTAAGGAGTCTCCCATGATTTTAGGCGGCAGTTGGTACTTGCTATGAGAAGTGGGTAATGGTTTGCAATAGCCATTAGCACAATTTCTTGACTTGAAGCCGATCCTTGCGGGCCTCACAGTTCCGTGGAAAAAGCAATATATATTTTAAAATGTGTCTAATGATGTATACTTTTGAAAATTGCAATGTGGTCCGACTGAAAACCTCACCTCGCCTTCCCACACCAGATTCAGAAGTCTTTCCTGTACTCCCTTGCCAGTTATTTCAAATAATGCCGGGTACCCCCATCTACATACCCGATCAGCCCTGTTTCCTTGGCCCGTGCTTCATCTTTGTTTGGTACTTTCTCAGGCCAGCAGAGTCTCCCTGGCACATGGGGCCAGGAGCAGTTGAGAGGGAAGGGCATTCGCATCATCAAGGATGAAACGATGTCAAAGCACAGGGTTGCATTAAGGCATTAGGATGGTTTGCTATGTGTAGCCCTTTCATAAGCTTTAAATACGACAGCAGATCTGTCTGACAGGGTAACTTCCTCGTGACCCCCCCTACGCCGTCACCTACACACACCACACGCACCCCCATTCCATTCTCTTTACTTTTTTTTTTTTTTTTTCTTGCGGTACGCGGGCCTCTCACTGTCGTGGCCTCTCCCATTTGCGGAGCACAGGCTCCGGACGCGCAGGCCCAGCGGCCATGGCTCACGGGCCCAGCCGCTCCGCGGCACGCGGGATCCTCCCGAAACGGGGCACGAACCCGCGTCTCCTGCATCGGCGGGCGGACTCTCAAGCACTGCGCCACCAGGGAAGCCCCCATTCTCTTTACTTTTACAGTCACTTTTTATCTTCAGATGATCCTTATCGCTTGATAGCTCTCCTCCGTTTAAACACAAAGATTATATAATTCCTATTTGTCCTTATCCTCTAATATATGCCACATGCTGCAGTTACATTATAGCGTCAAATATATGGCTTGCCAGGTTTTGAGATCCATCATATACAGAATGTTTTGAGGGCTTAACATGACCTCAGGGTTCCCCCCCCCCATTTCTTTTTTGATCATGTCTCCTTGTAATAGTACAGAGAGAATTCTAGATTTCTCTGCACAGCAAGAACCTAGAAAGTCCGATGTTTTTAATTAAGGTATATTTCCAGATTATTCCGTGAACTTAATTTGATGCTTTCTCTTTAATTTGATGCAAGTGTTATTTTTAAGCCAAGCCTGACTTAACAGCCTTTTATTCTTGCTGATTGTTTTAATGGAAACCACAGACATTGTAACACTAAAGGGGAAAAAAAAAAAAAAAAAAGCTTGGAATGTTTTTTTTAATGTGGGGAAATAAACCCAAAGAGGAAAGAATGCCAAGAATACCCTCAGTGATAGAGTGAGTGAACATCGTACATGAGAAGAACTGTTTGTACAAAACCTGCCGTCATAAACGAGATGCTGCTAGGCAGTACAGCTTGCCTATTAAAACATCCTTCTGAGAGAGGACACGGTCTCATGGTGCCTTTTCTGTGGATAAGTCACTGCAGTTTCCAAGCAGTGCTGTGACTTTTGTTCAGCTCTTAGCAAATGAGGAAGGAAATTCCAAGTCTACATTTAAAAGAGATTGTGTTCCTCATCAGAGGCTAGTTTTGAGATAACATTTTGGGGGGTTGTGGTTATACCTTCACATTTTCCCTGCCTTATATGTCACATGAAAGCTTTTAAAAGACAGTAGATATTGCAGGTATTTGTATTTAATCTCAGTGGCAAAAGGTTTTAGGTAGGGATGATGCTTTAATAGAGAGATCTGAGTAGTTTTAAGGCAAGGCTGCTTAACCTGTCAGCTGAATGGCCACCATGTTGTCTGCTTTATTACAAAAACTAGGAAATGAATTACATATACACCGGACTTTTTTTATTCCAAATTGGCAAGAAGAAATTCGTGTCAGGATTAGGAGAAAATCCCATGTATTATCTTTACGATATTAAGTTTAGTCTGAGATAAATTATATGAGTTAGGTAAACTTAGTTAAGTGAATTAAAAATTTTAACTTACAATAACATAAATAAAGATGCTGGCTTATATCGCTTATTCTCTACCTTCTTACTCATTACCTGACGTGTAGAAATTCCAAATTTGTACGTATAAATTGATTTCACTTCGCGTGACAGACATGTAAGTGCCTTCCTACTCACGGTGAATCTGGTGGCTTCAGCAGTGGCCTGGTATATTATTTTTTTGTAGACTGAATGAATAGCTAGTTGAAATCCACCTAATTACTTGGGTGGCAGATGGAAAAAAGACCAGTGGCAAAAACCAGTTTTTGAAGGACAGAGGAAGCATGAACTATTTGCATTCCTATGACTCTCCTTGGAGAGAGGACATTTTGTGAATTAGTTGAATTTTCATGCTACAGACAACCAAGAGGCAAGGTGTTAAACCATTCTGATGCTCTGCCTTATTTATAGCCATGACCCATTCTTTTTCCCCCTCTTACAGTTAATAGAAAGATTCATGATTCTTCATGGTTGTCTATCTAGCGTCTGACAGTCCCGACTGCCTGCGAAAGCAAGTCACTATCTATAATTGATATCCTCCCGTGGAATAGGGTGCTGGCTGCAATTGAAGGGCTTTGCTGAAAGCTCTTAAATCCTGACAAGTTCTCCCCTTGTTCTGGTTCAGTCGCTGAGCTGCACGGTTGGAATTCCAGAGTCATTTGAACTTGGTGCAGAAGGGAGACGTGTGTTTCGCATTAGCAAATCAGAGTTGAAGAGGAGAATTAGGGACTCGGCCGACTTTGCCCGCCAGGTAGTCTCATTTTCAGCGTAATGCACTCCGTGTTCTCTTGAAAAGATGACCCCATCCCATTACTGTCCGAACAGATGGGCTAAATATTGCCTTTGCCTTCTCTTCTCCTCTGTTTCAAGCCCCTGTTCTCCCGTGGTGTGTTGGTTCCAGGTTTGCTGTGGGGTCTTTCTCACTGGGATGTTTAATTAATTTCTCTTCCCAGCAAGATAATTATAATTGGGCTTCATGACTCTCCAGCTAGTATTAAATTTGTCATAAATTTACTTCTATGCCCAGAAGCTAAGGAGACAGATGTATATTTTTGTTAGCTGGTTTTTTGTTGTACTTTGTCCCCTTCTTAGTAGCAGTTAAAATAAGAGAGTAAGAAGGATATAGAGTACAAAAATTAATTAAAGTGCTTTCGATTAAGACGGAATTTATTATTGATTTGTCAAGATGCCAGCCATTTCTCTTCCCTTGACAGCTGGAAAGCGCATAGTCTAACATCTCAAAATAATTTGAAAAGTCCACACTTCCCCTTCAATCCCAAATGAGTTGGATCCTCTTTTTTGCTGTCGTGCATTATATATTCCCAAACGCACGACTCTTATATCTGATTCTGAAAGTCGTAGAATGTCGGTTCGCCCAGTGTGGTTTTTTTTTTGTTTTGTTTTGTTGGTTTAGCTTTTTTACTATGGAAAACAACTCAAATTCTGTCTGCTGGCCTTGCTTCTCACAGAGATGAGAAAGGTTTCCAAACCTTCCTGAGACCCATTTCCCTCTTGCATCCATTCTGTCCTGGAAGACGGTTCCAGCTTTGGCCCTTGGATGCTTGAAAAATATCCAGCATGCATTGCCTGCAGCCCAAGTTAGTCTCAGATTCTTTGCTTCTGAATGGCGTTGTGTGTACCACTGATGTTCTGAGAGGCTTTTTAAGAAGAGGAGAAATGAATACATGTGAAGAAAGAGGAACGTGTACCTCGGTGTGGGTCACCACTGCCAGGCGTCTAGTTATGCTTGAAAACGTAACTGCTGGTATCCGAAAGAATAAAAATAGTATAATCACCATAGCTAATGGCCACCTGTTTGCTCTGTCACTGTAATTCGCTTAACTTCTATTACACCAACCCAATCCTTTCTTTCCGTTTAAGGAATAACACATATAATATTCTTTCCAAAGGTCTTTAAAAGGTCAGATTATTTTTTTACCAGTTTTATTCCCCATCCTGATCCCAGCAGAATAACCTTATCTGCAGGGAGGGCCTTGGCAGTTACACCGTGCGGGCTCTTGTCTCCTGCCTGTAGGGCCGAACGGCAGAGAACATGAGAGGTGTTTATATGAGTCCCCAGCTTCAACTGGGTGGCTTGTACGTCGCTGTACTCCTTGATTTGTATCTTTTAAACGTGGTGTCAAAAATTCACCTTTTTGTACAATGATTAGCCACCTCCTTGGATTTTAAATGCGTTCATATGCTACAGATTTTGATTTTTAAAAGCATGCTGAAGTTTCCTTTATCAGAAGAACACAGTTATAATCACCTTTGCTGCCATTTGAACACAAATTCTATACATCGGCAGCATGAAAATGAAAGGCTTTCTTCTTAATATCATAGAGATTTAGATATAAAGGAAGCACACCTAATCTGCAAAGAATTGATGCATCCGTAGATACACGGGAGAGTGTTAGGATGTGGTGAAGACACTACTTTCATATTAATACCGTGTTCCCAAATTTGCATTTTAAATGTTTTCCAGCTAATTTTGGTCCCTTTGCTAAAGTTGCATTGTATATCTTTA